AAAAAAAAAAAAAAGTCCAATAAAAAGGAAAAAAATAAAAGAAAGATCCACTGCCACAATTTGTCTTTTGCGGTTGCTGCTGACAGTGCTGAGTGTTGGAGCGTTCATCCTACGAGATTTGCAATGGCCCACGCTGAACTCTTTTCCAGATTACCAAAATGGGAATGAATTTTACGCTGGAACATGGAAGGATACAGAGAAAATCAGCATGGCCCTGCTGAAGAATGATGACTTCTGGCAATAGAGCCCGCCATCCGTGCATTCGCCTGCTCCTCTGGCAGGAGCAGCCACCCTATGGGGAGAAAGAAAACGTAGGACAGAAAAAGGAAGAAGGGAAAAAAAGAAAAAAAAACAAGGGAGGGGAAAAAAACGAAATAACCAGCACAGAAGTACCGGTCGCCAGCATTGAAGGACCGGCCAGCCCCATATCACGACCACTTGCAAGCTGCATTCCCTTAAGACGAAGAGGTTTGGTAGTTTGCCAACAACAAGGTTTGGGAAGGCTGCTTCGGGGGTACTGGTGGTTTAATCACCTCCCCTCTTAACCTCTTGAGGTCCTCCTCCTCTTCACCTCGTCACCTCCTCGTCCTCCATAGCTCGTCAACTTGTCCTTGTCAACTCAATCTCGTCATCCTCTCCAACTCAGCACCTCCTTGTCTTGGACTTCTCCTCCTCATCTCGTCCCCTCCTGCTCCTGATCTCGTCACCACCTCCTCCTCGTCTCTCATCACCTCCTCTTCGCATCACTTCATCCTCCTCCTCACCTCATCACCTCCTCCTCCTTCCCTCTTACCTGCATAACTTTAGAAATGAAAAAAGGGTTCCGCACTGCTCCGCGCAGGGCTGGAACATGCCGCTCTGGTCACATGTTCGAGTGCGGCGAGGTGCGGTGCGGTACGATCCAGTGCGGTGAACCAGGAGGCACCACACATTGCACAACGGACTGAACCACACAGTAGACCACACAGCGCGCTTGCAAGCATGGTTCAGTCCATTCTCTGAGCTCAACATCTGTATATATGGACATGCGATTAACTTCCACGGAGTGAGATGTAGAGTGGCCTTTCTTCCGCTTAGTCATTCATTTGCAGGGCAGGAGCAATCTATGGTGGAAATCGGATGTGCGGGGTAGTCTATGGTGGTTCTGAGGTTAGTCAATTGGCAGCGGGAAAATTGCAGCGGTGGTCCTGAGAAGTCATGGTATGCGCAACAACAAACGTTGGCAGTTTTTCATGCTGCCAGTTGACTGACCTCAAAGCCCAAGACTAGATGCTTGAAAATTTGAGAAATTAAAAGAGCTCTCTTTTTTGAAGTTTTTTCTCTTGGTCGGATTTGGTCCCTGAATAGAAGCCTGGTTGCGGTCTTGGGCTCAGTTGGGAGAGCATAAAAGCGGCATTCAGGAGGTCATGGGTTCGATCCCCCACGTCTTCCGTTCAAATCCCCACGGCCTCCTGCGCCGCACTGCGGGTTCACCAGCTTAGATAACCGGCTTGCCCCCCCCCCTGGTCGGTCTTGGCAGGGGGACTCGTCCTTTCCATCCCTTGCCGGGGGTTAGGACCAACCCTGTGGAGTAAAAAAAGGATCCCTCTGATTACCCCGTGGTGCTTTGACATGGGTGGAGGGTGCTGCTGATGAGACATATAGGTAGGTGGGTAGTTTGAGGTATAATTGAGAGAAGAATATAGCGTAGTTAAAAAAAAAAGAAAGAGCCTGGGCCCTGGGTATCATCCATGATGCATTCACAATGCTGAGGTGGTGGATGCAGGTCAACGACACACCACTCCCTCTGGGCTAATCTGAGGTTTCTCCGGGAAACAGCAACTGTTGGGTTTTCCCCTTGTAGCCTTGCAGCCTGTAGGCCCTCTACTTTCTGTAGGAGCGCCCAAGCCCGATAATATGGAAGACTGAGATGGGGGGTTCTTGATGGATGGATCTCCCATGGGGAGCACCCGCTGTCCCTCCCGAAACCAATGAAAGACCAGCCGGCCTCCTTCGACAGTGGCTACTTTGGCCTGGGCCAGAGTCTTTTTCTGGAATTTATCAGCTAGGTCCTTGGCCCGTTCTGGACTAAGTGATGCCTGTCTTTTGGCCTTTTCTGCCATCGGGCTCTGATATCCGTTTCCATGAGCTTGTGGAGCGTCGCCTTAGCTTGTGCTCCGAAAATTGCCATCTGCCCGATCGCCTGTTGGCATCTCCGTCCCCAGATAGTCCGTAACGTGTACTGTCTCAACAGCTGGAAGATGTGCTTTTCGTGGGGCTTCCAAGACTTTGGCATGCCGCCTCCTCCTGTCAGTAACGTCCTCCTGTCTTGTGGGAAGGAAGCCGTTGTAATGCGCAGCCACAGCATTTGAGCCTCGTTCCATAGGTATCCCGCTTCGGCAGTCTAACAAAATGTCAGGACGTTTCAAAGCCACAGAGTCTTGAAGTCGGACCCAAATCATCCCACCATGCACACACAATAAACGACTACAGAATCTACAGATACATCCCTGAGCCCTCAAATTACCTTTCTCATTGTGCTATCTGCTTAAGCTCAGGCTATGATAGCACAACGATAGTATCTAGGAAACAAGAGGGGGGGGGGGGGGGGGGGGGGGGGGGGGCGCAGGGTTAGGAGGACGATGCACAGGCAGGAAGCAGGGGCAGGTCCTCCTAAACCTATTGGAAACCAATCCCTGGGCACAGTGGAAAAGAGCACAGAGGCAGATGAGACAGCAACCGGACCAAGAACACGAATTGAAAGACAGATTAGAGCGCAGATTTCTGGGGAATGGCAAAGTAGCAACGATCCAGGCCTCGGGCCTACCCTCTTCACCCGAATAGAACGCCCGGTAATTATTGCCGTTCCTGGGCTGAAAGTTGTGCGAAATACAGCTATAATGACCGGGCGTTCTATTCGGGTGACGATGGTAGTATTTCAGTGGGGACAGAGCGGATGAAGCGGCGGCGGGAAAGGAGACAGGAACCAAGGAAAAATGGCATCAATAGGTGTAGGGACTTAGGGTTTAAGGAGAAGGGTTCAGAATAGGGAGAGGGGAGGGACAGGGTAGACAGAGGGGAAAAAAAAGGGTTAAGGGGACTGGAATAGTCTGGTCTTACCTCGGGGGGTTCAGCACCCTTAGCTGTTCCTTTATTTCTGTTTGCCATTTCCTAGTCCAGTTTCCCTTTTGTTGAAGTTGCAGATAAGGGGATGCTGGACCCGGTTTCCAGCTCGAGCCAAATCTGGGTAATGGCCCCAGCCCTGTCTGGGTTGAGATGTCAAGGAATTCCCGGCCTCATGGATTTTTATATAATAAAACTGCAAATGTTTTTGACAAAAATATAAAAAAATTGTCCACACTGAGCAGACTCCATTTTCAATTTTCAAAGGGAAAGCAATAAGAGTCTGAGGCCAAAGTGTGAGGGGCGTGAAGTTAAAAAAAAACAAAAAAAAAGAGGTGCGTGCACAGAGATTCTGACAATCTTTTGGGGTTTGTATTGTGTGTGTTTGTACCACGTTTGCAGTGGGTGGAACATTTTAATCATCGTTGCCCTAGGACTGTTCGGGCTCGCTCTTGGCCTCATATGGTGGCTTGTGCATCGCGTGGAAGGTCCTGTGTCAGACCGTGACACGAGAAGTCAATCACCATGGTTCGCACCTGTGACCTCTCTCTCTCTCTCTCTCTCTCTCTCTCTCTCTCTCTCTCTCTCTCTCTCTCTCTCTCTCTCTCTC